TTTGGCAATATTGGGAATCTCCCCGCCTTGCACTTTTGTGGGAGTGCCCGTGTGACGTGGCGCAGGACGGCTCATGCTACGACATGTCACCGATTGAAGCCCTTGGGTCTGTTGTGCGTCACTTGCTTTCCCTTTCTTTGACGCGCTGTAGTGCGCGCGGTATGGGCTTTCGCCTTTTCTGCACTTTTATGCGACCTGCAGGCGTTTTTGGCGGTGGCACTGCCTCATTAGATTCGGGTGGCATTACCCGATCCAATCGGTCTAGCCTTTGGCGAACCGTTTGAAGAGTATTATTGAACCTCTCTAGGTAACTCATGACGACTGGGTTGAGCCGCAAGCTTGAAGGAATATCCCTCGTGATATTCTACTAGACTGGCGGCATTTCGGGAGAAGTGTCTTCTTGGATCTGGAGGATTTCTTCATTGGCATGATTGGTTTGCTCATATTCAAAACCGCGAGCCATTTGCTGTTGTGGGACCAATTAGTTAGAGATTTTTCTAATGAAGAGTAGGTACTAAATCAAGCCCTTCTTCTAGCACCAAACTGTTGATGCTTGATTTTGACACCAACTACTCGCACGTGTAAAATGTTAAAATGACTTAGAAGTCACACGATGAGGGGATTGAATCAAATAAAAGGTGAAGAGCAATATTTAAAGTAGTTCAGATGCTCTAAAATGAATCCTACATCCACTGCTATTGTATTAATAAAAGAGAGTGATCAGGTTGCGTTCAGCGAGCTGAGTTACAATTTAGAGAGAGAGAGAGCTATTTCAGCGTAAAAGTAGCTAATCCTCACAAATGAGAGGGAAGTTCTCTATTTATAGTGGGAAAGTTTAAGGTAATGATTATGAGGGTTGCAAGTGGGTAGGTGTCATGCAAATCATTTCTTTACGTCCCATTGATCACTTGCCGGAGGGATTTCCCCGATTAAAGCAGGGCTTTGACATGTGGGCGATCTTCAGCCACTTGTTGGCTTTACACTCACCTGCTGCACTGACAGGGGTCATGCCACTTGCGCTAGGCACGACGTGGCCGCACCTGGACGACACATAACTCTTCTGAACTTTGACCATCTTTTACTGACGAGGCTCCACATCGACCCTACTTTTTCCGGCATAACAAATCTAATCCCAAATAATTAATACATTCAAGTATGATATACAAATACACCAATAATCAATTACTAATCAGCAAATTAAAAAAAAAAAAAAAACTAATAGTGCAGTATGCTGATAACTAAAATTAATAACGTAACATTATAATATACGACCTAATGTCTCAAATTTAAAATCATAATGAAAAAAAAAAGGACGTCGGTCTAATTAGAGAAATACACACACATATATATAAACCGACACAAAATAGAAAAATTCTTAAATTTAACTCTGTTACAAAAATATATACGAAAATTCACACAAAATATAGGCATCCTTAACTTGAGTGATGATTAATTGATTATTAACTTTTTAGTAACGTTTTGGTCCCTCAGACTTGTTAATGATAAGGACCAAAACATTACTGACACACAGTGACTAAAATGTTACTAAAAAAATGTACAAGACTAACATGTTATCTAAGCCAAACCCTAGGGATGAAACCAACTAGGAGTTAAACTTGGCCAAACCGTAAGGGTGAATTAAAATTTTCCCCTATTACAGAATTACGTAATACAAAAGTTCTAACCTAAGCCGGGTAGGGAGGTGACTGGGTTTTCTCTGAATATTAGGGTTTAATTGTTATTTCTTTAAACCTTTGGGAAGTCCGGAATTATACAAAAGGTATAGTTAATTTATGGCATGCATAATTGTTTCCATATTTATACTGATACATAGGTTAGTTTTATATGCATAATTTATTCGACGTTGAGGTTGTATTCCGGTATTTTGTACCGGTTCGATCTGAACTGCATGCTGTCGCTTCTCGTGGGTTGGCAATCATACGGTTTCCTGACTCAACTCATATTACGTGCTGGGGGTTGGTAGCGGTGTTCTATCGGCCGGTGCTTTGGCTTTTTGTCATTCCGCCTTGATTCATATCTAGAATGAGTTGCTCGGTTCATCTCATCTTCCTCCCATCTTATTTGGATCACTGCCCGGGCCAAAGTGTCCTCCATTGTGGTACAACCCAGCTTCGTAAGTTCTTTGTACAGTTCTCTGTCCGAGAGGAGGCCTTTCCTGAAGGCGTCCACAACTGTCTCGGGGTTACATGACGGGATAGAGATCTTTTCTTTGTTGAACCTGCTAACATACTCTCTCAGTGGCTCTCCCATTCTTTGGTATATTTGGCATAGGTCGGCCGACAATTTCTCTAGTTTCTTGTTGCTGGTGAATTGTTCCACGAAGGTGTCGGTAAGCTGGACGAATGAGTTGATGGATCCGTTCGGGAGGTTCTGTACCACTAGAGTGCCGGGCCGAATAAACTAGAACTGAAACTTTTGCACATGCAAGCTTCCCTAAGCGGTCGGGGTATTGAGACTGTGAACATCCGCTGCTTGTACGAGGCTATGTGGTCATCCAGGTCGGTGGTACCGTCGTATGGTTTCATGTTGGGGATGGTGAATTTCTGGGGCATGTCGGCCAGGGCGATCTCATCCACAAAGGGCGAATCTGCGTAACAGTGGGGCCTACTCTTCTTGGTTGGGACCGACATTCCTGGAATGCGCCTCATCACTGCCTCCACATCGGCCAGCCTCTTGGCCAGTACCTATTCCATAGGAGAAGGGGACGCCACTGGGTCATGCTGCATGACTAGGTCAGCCTTTGCAATTGTCTTTGATACATTCCGTTGGGTCATCCCTCGTGGGGTGGTCTGACGAGTTGTTCCTTCGTGCGTTCCCTGGTAGCATAGATCTTTGTTCATTCCTTCCGGTTGGATGACTCCCATGGTAACTGTTCTGGTGTTTCGCCCCACATGAATAGTTAGGGGAGTCCTTTGGTAGTCATTCAGTTGGTCAGGACAGATGGGCTCGGGTGTTGTGGTTTGTTTAGTTTGGCCGTTCATCCCGTGAGGATGAGCCGAGCCGAGTGGGGTATGTGTTGGGATGGTTGACTAGATGTAAGGTGGAATGGTCAGATTGGGCTGATCTTGTGGATGAGGGCTTTCTGCCACCGGATCGTCTTGATCTTGATGCTGGGATGAATTGGCTGAATGATGTTCTACAAACATATCTTTATCTCCATGAATCAAGACAGAATCGTCAACCGCATACGGGTTTAGCAGACGTGGCCTTTTTGTCGGAGATCGAGGGTCGGTGCTCTGGCGTAAGGAGAGGTTGCATGGACGAAACAGCGGTGCGGAACCAATTGGGGGGTGCCTGGCCAGGCAGGAACTTTAGATCGTAGAATTGACTAACCTTCTCCTTGAGAGACTGGTTTTCTGACCTGATGGATGCGTTTTCTGTCCGGATCGCATTGTTCTCAGCTTCCAATGTGGCTCCTTTTCCAAGTTTTGTTGCATGAGAGCGGTTAAAGCTTCCAGTTTGGCCTCGAGGCCGGGATTCGAGTTGTTAGCCATGGAAAGTTCCTCTATGTAGTAGGGTTCGTCGAGCCGAATGATTGCTAAAGGGCCCACGATGGGCGTCAAACTGTAGACATAAAAATCTACCTGTACGGAAGGGGGGTCTGATCCCGTGAGGTTGAGGCCACTAGCGATCCGCTGCACCTGCACACGTAGAGAAACAAACGCGTGAAACGAACGAGAAACACCAGGGTGGTGTTTGCCGTAGGCACTCCAACGCTCAAGTCAGCAAGGCTGAAAAGAGGCTAGTATAGTGAGGGCTAGGGAGTAAAGAGGTTACCGGAAGTCTAGTCGGGGACTGTGACTACGGCGGTGATGTGGAGCTCTCAAGTTAGAGCTTTCAGTGTGAAGGTGTAATGTAATCTCCCTTGTGAGAGGGCTAGCCTCTGCTTATATAGTGGCTGTCTGGTCTCTCCATCTTGGTAGAAGTAGGAGTCCTAGTGTGACTCTGATGCAAACTCTAGAAGAATTAGGGCCATGGTAAGCTGTCTTACCAGTGTCCGGATAGGAAGGTGATTCTGATTAGGAGAGTAACTTCGAGTAGGAAAGTGTTCTGAACAGGAAGGTGTCCTCGAATAGGAGATTGCTCAGGAATAGTAAAATATTCTGAGGGCCGTGGGCCTTGGATTCGCTCATGGACCTAGGAAATGGGTCGGGATTGGGAGACTTGTACCCAGGCGGTTTGGGCCGGCTGTATCTTGTCCCAAATGGACCTAATCCGGATTGGAATTGGGCTTGGCTTCTTCACTGTCAGACCCGTTTTCCTATTTGGGCCAACGACAATTTTTGACCCTAACATTGTGTTTGTCTGTGTATAGGAGGGATTTTATTTGAATTACATTTATTTTTTGATCTAACCAAATATAATATATTACAGATACTGAAAATACCAATCACATACATCCTTCACACAATACTTGTCTTTTACGTGGTGTTATGGGGAAAAGGCAGAGAGATGAAGAAGAAGACTGAAGAAGCTTTTGATTTAGGATTCAAAAGCTGCAGTTCCGGGGCATTTGAAATTCTGGACACTGTTAATATGACAGAGTTTAGTGATGATGATCATCAAGTTATTACTTGTAGTTCAGTGTTTGTGGTTCATAATGATCAAGGCGTTGAAGATAGGACGAGTTTTGAGGCTTCCATAGTTGCAGATAATAAATAATATTTAGAAGTGAGATTCAATTGTTCAATTTCACTTAACCGTGGAGCAATGATTCTGTAGTTAATTTTGGTAGCCTTATAATTGGAAAATGACCACCTGGTTATATTAATACTTAAATTTACATGGAAAATGACATGATTTTGTATTACCATTGAAAATTTTAAATTTTATGTTATGGGATCTACATGTTTAATCAACTCTTTTTTCTTTCTTTGGTTATGCTTTGTAATTTTCTGCCACATTTTGGCCATTCATTTCCAGAAAATTTTCTGCTGCAAATGCAATTTGGTGTGAGGCAAAGTTTGAAAAGACCAGAATTCAATTTGATGCTGCAAATGCAATTGTGTGTGTATTATAAGCAATCCAGTTGCAGCATATTGTTTATAAGCAATCCAATGGAAAAGAATAATACACATCTGGAAAATGTTTGTTGCTGATACATTAGATGATAATACACAAGCTTAATTAAGATCAAAGGCAGATTAACCCTCTCTGGTAGCTTACATCTTTCTGACATGAACTACAACTGACTCAACAACAATGAACAAAGAAAGAAAAAGTACTTTCTCCACAAAGCCAACTGATCCATACTAATCACTAGCTTATTTAATTTTTTCCGCAGATTGATCACAAATCTACTTCATTTCGTTGCATAGGAATAGTCCCACCAGCTTCCAGAATTTGTTTCTCAAGCTACAATCAACATAAGTAGAGAAATAAATCTAGAGAAGATGCAGTATTTTCAAAACAAAAACATACCCACAGGCTATAACCTGGAGCTGCTCAGAAACCACCCCCAAGCTAAAATATAAACACAAAATCAACTTGCAGCTGCCCAGAAACCACACCCAAGCAAAAATATACACAGTATCAACCTGCAGCTGCCCAGAAACTACCCCCAAGCAAAAATATAGACACAAATATCATCCTGCAGCTGCCCAAGAAACACACCCAAGCAAAAACACACACACAATATCAGCCTGCCGCTGCCAAGAAACCACCCCCAAGCAAAAATATACACACAATATCAACCTGCAGCTTCCCAGAAACCACCGCCAAGTAAAAATATACACACAATATCAACCTGCAGCTGTCCAGAAACCACCCCCAAGCAAAAATATAGCAAGCAGCAATGAAACCACACCCAAGCAGTTACATGATTTTGTGTGAGTTTCATGGGAAACAAATAAGGGTTAAAAGGAAAGAAAACTAAAGAACCATAAGCACCTGGAGCTGCTTCCCTTTAGCCGATGAACATGAGCATCCGACTTCCTGAAACTCATGTTCTTTCAATCCCTGTGCAAGATACAACAACTCAACCACATTAGTAGACTGAGAAATTTCCAAAATAGGGGTTAACAATCTAAAGCTGCATACATTTCAAGAATTCACATGTAAACATCAACTTAAACAAAGAAACATAAATAAATTACTTACCTGAGTTGCTAGATTAAATCCTACTCTGAGACTAGGATTCGACATCTTTGGAAGTACCAGCAATACTTTCACAATTCGTTCTACTATTAGCTGACATGTTTAGTCTTTTATCAATCCCACCAACACTTTCATTCGACATCAACTTGTTCTTCATATCATTCATCATTTCTATCACCATATTACAATCATCCTCATTGTTTGATGCCAAATTTGCTACAGTGCTGAATAAATTAGACAACTGATCAAATCGTTGTCCTTCAAGATTGGTGCTCCAACTATTATAACTTATCTTAACCTTGGTATAGCATCTGTTTATATTTTTCCTCCACCGCCTTAAAATATACTTTTCTGGTATGTTAGAAATTTGCTTACGAATCAACACTACAATTGCATGTCGACATAAAATTCCTCTAAACTCAAACAATCGACAATTGCAACGAACATCACAAGTTGCTTCATAAAAGCAAACCACAAAAGGAACACGACGATGAGTCTCTCCGACCATAACATCTTCTTCTATTATAAATTCCGTATAGGAATCAATTTCATTGAAAGAAGATAATTCACAATAGAGCTTAGCTGCAAGCTCTTGTTGAAACTCTTTGAATTTCGCAATGGTATATACATCTTGAAATTGTTTCTCAATAGCATAAGTGCTTATGCAAGGGATCCATGATTTGAAAGATTTAAAATCAGCCTCTCTTTCTTTTTCTACTTTATCACGCAATGCATTCTCATATTGTTCCATAAACTGTTTTATAGTGGTTTTTGAATTAACATATCCATCAAAAAATGCATGCATACTTTCACTGCGTTGAGTAGTAGACATACCTGCCCAAAAAGAATCTTTCACAAAAGCTGGCACCCAACGTTGTCTTTCATTATACAATCTAAGTAACCAATGATTGTCTTGAAGGTTGTGTTTATCACACAAACTATTCCAATGTTCTTCAAACTCCTCACGTGTCAATGAATCATACACGGCATTTTGCAAAGAAAACTTAATATATTCATATTCACTATAACCTCTTAACTTTTCAGGCAATTTCTTCATTATATGCCACAAACACCATCTGTGTCGTATACCAGGAAACACAATCTCGATTGCATTTTGCATTGTCTTATCTTGATCAGTGATTATTGCCTTAGGAGCACAATTCAACATACATGCAAGCCAAGATTGAAAAAGCCATACAAATGTCTCTGTGTCCTCATTGGAGATTAACCCACAACCAAACAATATTGAATGACCATGATGATCAACACCAACAAAAGCACAAAACGGCATATCATACTTGTTGGTCAAATATGTTGTGTCAAATGTTACAACGTCACCAAATTCTTTAAATGCGACCCTACTTCTTGCATCCACCCATAAAACATTCTTTAATAGGCCCTCTTCATCTAAATCCATTATGTAGAAGAAATTTGAATTCTCATTTTGCATTTTCAAAAAATATTTTTGGATTGCAGAAGCATCTCCAGCACCAAGTCGTAGCCTCCTGACTTTTTCAATGTAATTCTCACAATCTTTTTGTACTAAAGGCAAATCCTCAGCCTCAGCTGCTTCAACTAACAAGGAATTGAAATTTTTATTCGGTCTAGTCCTAGCCTTAGCCCTATCATTCACTTCAAACTTCCTTTTCAGGGACGGATGCATTATTCGATTACTCTTGAAATATCTAGTTTTGTCAGGACTGCAAAGCTCATGGTTATGATTAAAGACAACTGAACATATTTGCCATTTTCCATCAAAACGTACAGATGCACCAATCCGAGCCTTACAATCAGTTTTTGTCATTGGATGCATTTTAAAAGCATTTCTGGAGTTACTGCTCGACTTCCCAGTACAAGAACAAGTCAGTGTCGCGTATTTCACCTCTCCATCATCTCCTTTCTTTGAAGATCGTATAATAACTTCAAAACCCATTTTATTCCCATAGCTTCTGTAGAATTGGACGAGATTATCAAATGAATCAAAAACCATTCCAGTCTTAGGCTCCCATTCCTTCTTTGCACTTCTTGTATCTTCTATTTCTTCAAAATGATTATCCTAATTTATTGATATTATAATAGCCAAAATTAGAATATAATAATACAACAAAAACATAGAAACAATACCATAAAAAAATTAAAAATCATATTAATGAATAAAAAGATATTATAAACAAAAAATTACCTCCACAACATTGAAAGAAGAATAAGAGTCCTCTAATTTTTTTTTACTGCATTCTTCCATCCTTGGTACTTTGATGCAACACCAACTTCAAGTTCAGACTTACTGTATGTAGACTAATTAATACTGACAGTATCTTCCGTAACTACCCTCGCTAGTTAATTTGCTGCCTGAAAACAAAAAAACCTATATTAATAAATATCATGAACATCATTGAAAGATCCTAATTCTGCGCCAAAATTGCTTGCTGGTAGAGGACAGCCGGCAGTTCAGACGAAACGATGGATATTACTAACATAAATGGACAATAAACAATGTATATCTGCTAACATAAATGACTGTGAGTCTGTGACAATCGTATTGCCAAAGACACTAAACAATGTATATCTACTAACATAAATGGACAACAATATGAAAAGAGGAAACAATGAATAAGGAAAAAAGCCTCTATCTGTAAACCGCTGCTTCATACGTCATCATATTATACCTGAATTGGTTCGGTACGTATTACCATTTACCTCAAATAACATGCACACTAAGTAAACAAACAAAGTTCCACAAACCCAGCAAGCTTGTAGAGAATGTCTAAAGTACACAACTAATTCCAAATCATAAATGACACAAGAGTACCTCACCTGCCCATCGGATAGGAACCCGGCTACGGCAATCACTGGAGTGAATACTTCAAGAAGCAATTCTGGCTTGTTAACCCCAACTTTTGTCTTCAGGGTACAGTCTCATTGTTCAATATAACAATAACAAAAGCCTAAGGGAAGTAGACAGGCCAGTTGTAATAATACGCTTCTCCGAGCGCTTTGTACAGGATTGAACGGTGGTGGAAGAGGAAGAGCGATTGACGTTGAGTGGTGGTGCAAGACGATAGCCCGCGGTGGTGGAAGAGGAGTCGCGAATGACGGTGGCGAGTTCAATTTCAATTATAGGGTTTCAACTTGATTTGGGGAGAGAGAGCAATCTCAATTCTAGGGTTTCAATTTGATTTAGGGGAAAGAGATGCAGACTGATTTCTAGGATTTCAATTTCGGGGAGATTTTGAATTTTATTTTTAAGTTAGTGGGAACTGACGTGGCAGATATGTGACGTGGCAGATGAGGTGGCCTCTGTCATGTCGCCTCAGTTAGTACATGTAGTATTTTTGTTTGCAATGTCGCATTCAAGCAAGGAGATGCACCAAATAAGTGAGAACGTCGTGAGTACAGAAGGCGATAGAGAGCGGTTAGAGGGGAGGAAGAGAGCATGAAATTCTATATAAGTTTGGTCAGACGACAAGTGCTCTCTAATTACCATATATACATTTAGGCATGGAGATGTTGTGACTTCAATCTGTGAAGCCCGCATTTGTATAAATGAAACTACACTCAAACTCGCTGATGTTGAATTTCACTTACTTTTCTTCAATGCATCTTCACACCTTAACCCGAACCCCTTCTTTAAGCTTTCAAGAAATATGGAAAAGAAGCACCGCCTCCCTAAACCCACTAACAAATTTAGGTTCCCGTTACTGTTTTGGCCATATTACAGGTCTGGAAGTAGACCCAAATTTACCTGAACACCAGATTTTTGAAGCAAATGAGAAGCTAAGCTTATACTCTACTATCCTACGTGATTGTACTTCAAATGGGACTTTAAAAGAGGCCAGAGTGGTTCATGGGCACGTTATAAGAAATGGGATTGACCCTGATTTGCACTTGTGGAATTCGCTAGGGAATTTTTATGCAAAACGTGCGAGTTTTCGATGCGCACGTGCAGTTCTTGATAAAATGCCTAAAAGAGATGTCGTGTCGTGGCCTGCTTTGATTACGGGGTTAGTAGCTGAATGGTGTTAGCCCTAAGGGGCTTACATCGGTTACTGCTTTGAAAGCTTGTTCTACGCGCTTGGAGTTAGTTTTTGGGACAGAGTTGCAGGCAGAGCGGCAGAAGCGTTTAAATTGGGGGTGTTTTTGGATATATTTGTTGAGTCTGCTCTTGTTGACCTTTATGCTAAAAAGTAGTGTGATGGAACTTGCAGAGAGAGTGTTCTTTTACGTGCCTGTGAAGAATGCCGTGATGTAGAATGCATTGCTTCATGGATAAGTGCAGAATGGGGAGGGGGAAGAGGCACTGAAAATGCTTTCTGGAATGAAAGAAATAGAGTTGAACTTTAGTAAGTTCAATCTATCGACTCAAAAGTAGTGAGCTCCTGGGGAATTTGAGTGGAGGCAAGGTTGTGCATGCTCTTGCTGTTAAGATTGGTTATGAGCTTGATGAACTTTTCAGTTGTTGCCTTCTTGATATGTACTCTAATGATGCACTTAAAGTTTTCAGGAGGATGAAAGATCCCAATACTGTAGCTTGGAGTTGAATGATCAACTGCCTCCCTAAGCTTGGGAGAAGTCAAGAAGCAGCAGAGAGTTTTTGCTTAATGAGGTATAAAGGTGTAAGACCAAATCAGCATACTTTAGCTACTGTTGTTGGCACTACCACAAATCTGGGTGACTAAGGCTTCGTTTGGTTGCCAATTAGGAATACTATTTTTAGTATTCCCAAAAAAGTTACACATTAAAATACCCAAAAACTCACAATATTATTTAACTTTTTTTAAACCCCTAAATTTATTAATTTAATTAAATACCCTTAAATATTTTTTAAAAAATTGCAAAAACACCCCAATAATCCACATTTACCAGATTCCGGCCACCACCGCCAGAAAATGGCCGGAATCTAGTAGGATGACGCACTACCGGCTGAATCTGGCTGGTAGTGCACCGATCTAGTCTTTTCTGGTCAGATCTAAGGCCAAAGATCTGGTCGCTGACGACCAGATCTTTGGCCGTAACCAGTCGGTAACGATGACCAACAAACGGTCGTCGTTGACCATCAACGACGACCATTTGTTGGCCGTCATTGACGAGCAAATACGGCCAGATTTGGCCGTAGATCTGGCCTTTACCGACCAGATCCACCGTGAATCTGGTCGAAAAAGGCCATATTGGCACACGACCGGCAAGATCCAACCAGTCATGTGCCGATACGGCGACTCTGGCGACCCTCCGGCGGTGGTGGCCAGCTGTCCGTATTTGAGGGTGGGTTGGGGTGTTTTTGTTAACTTTTAATGTTTTATTATAGGGGGTATTTTGTAAAAAAAAACAAATATAGGAGGTATTTTATTAATTTGTAAATCCTACATCGTAATATCCGCCAAATTCAACTTTTTTTAAAATTTTTTTCTCAAAAACACAAAATTTCGAACAAAACGGAGGCTAACACTTCTGTGAAGGTATTCATTCTTGTGTATTTAAATATGGCTTTGACTCTGATAACTTTGTGTGCAATGCACTTATCACAATGTATATGTCTGTTCAAAATGGTCGGCGGGTGTTTAAGAGTATGAATTGTTTAAATTCAGCCGCTTGAAATGCCCTTTTGTTTGTAATTACATCTAACCAGGCACTGATAAAGTTCAATCAGATGCTTGTGGAAGGTTTCAAGCCTGACAATTACACATGTATTAGCATTCTAAGATCTTGTTCCAGCCTCTCCAATGTAGGTTTTGGTAGGCAAGTACATGCCCATATAGTGAAGAATGGCCTTGTAGATAATACTTTTGTAGGAACAGCTCTGATTGACTTGTTTGCCAAAAGCAGGTGCTTGGAAGATGCAGAAATACTTTTTAATAGATTTATGAAAGACTCCTCCACTAGGACTGTCATCATCACTGGTTATGCACAAAACTGTCAAGGGGAGAAGGCTGTTAAGTGCTTCAATGAGATGCTAAGGGAAGGTTTGAAACTCAATGAGTTCACACTCTCCGGTTTGAGTGGCTCCTCTGGTTTAATGACAGTAGAAACAGGGTGGCAGCTCCATTCCTTGACATTGAAGTCTAGACTGTTTAGTAATAATTATGTTGCTAGTGCACTTATGAGTTGTACATAAAATATCAGTGCGTAGAAGATGCCGGGGCTGTTTTCAAAGACATGGCTTCTCATAATAAAGCATCCTGGAACACAATCATATGTGGATACTTGCTGCATGGGTTAGGAAAGAAGGCTCTTGAAGCTTTTAGAAGTATGCTAAATGAAGGTGTCCTACCAAACGAGGTTACATTATAGGTGTTCTCTCTGCATGCAGCCATGAAGGTTTTATTGAAGAAGGTAAAAGGTATTTTAACCCATTGAGCGAAGTGTATGGAGTCAGTCCTACTATTGAACACTCTGCTTGTATGGTTAATATTCTTTGTCGAGCAGGGAAATTTAGCGAGGTTAAAACCTTTATTGAGGAGCAGAAGCTTATTGAGAATGCCTTGATATGGGAAACTGTTCTCTGGTCTTGTAAATTATATGGAAATATTGAACACAGTTTAAGGGCTGCAGAGAAGGTTTTTGAGCTAGAACCTGAAATCGATTACACTTATATATTGTTGTCTCATATTTTTGCAGTTAGAGGGAATTGTGATGATTTTGCTAAAGTTAGGGCATCAATGTTTGGTAGAGGAATTGAAAAGAGACCAGGTTGCAGCTGGTAGAATTGCATGATCACGTGGAAATGTTCTTTGCTCAAGATAATTCACGTCCACAGATCAAGGAGATCAATCTAGAGGTGGAGAGGCTGGCACGATGAAGGGTGAGGAAAAAAATTAAAAGTTTTAGTTCTAGGCTTTTTATCATGATTGGGTAATGTATTTGTGTATTATATGCCTTACAAAATCAATATTAATATTATATTTATTACATTCACATTATGGCCATATAATAAAATTACGATTCATGATCCATAATTTGGCTCAAGGCTGCATTATGTACCGATTGGAACTTTGTAAAGTGGACTTAAGCTGAGAGCTATGCCAGGCAATCATGTTTCAAACAACAGAAACTGCTTCTAAACCAAAATTTCCTTCATACGGATAAACTATCATACAACGAATTACCTGAATGGATCACTGAAAAGATTCATTACAGTGCTTTTCTCTAAATTACACAAAGATCACAGTATGGTCTATGCGAAGTTGCACTGAAGCAGTTTATCAGCTTCCTATTGATATCTCTAGAAGCCTTTTGGGTGTGGTTTCTCTCTCATAAGACAATTTTTACATATTGGTCAAACATTACTCGGAGAATCCATCAGATAGCAGCACGAGAAAGCCATAAAAATCACAGGTTGTGAAGGATAATGCAATCATCATAATTTACTACTATTAATCTATTGCTCATCTTTCTCCACATCTTCATCAGAACTCGTGGAAAGTTCGCGTACATCCACTTCACTACCATTACTCAAACCTTCCTTACTGACAGATGAGGTCCTCTCTTTAGTTGAATCAAAGTTGTCAGCGAGGTCAACTTTGAGATATTTAATCTTTTTGGTCTTGCCAGTAATTCCCTTTTCTTTCCGTTTTGTCCCTCCATTTTTGTTCATCTTCATTGAGTGAGCAGCAGCTACAAAAGCTGCACTCATGGAGTCGTTCATCTTGTTCTCTTCCTCTTCCTCATCGTCATCTTTCACTTCACCCTTATTATCAATGTAAAAGAGAAGATCAGAGTCTGCATCTTTACCTTCCAACTTTGATGGCTGAGGCTTATAGTCTGGTTTGGAATTATCAACAGCTAGTTTGGCACGAGACTTCAAGATTCTATCATCAAACACTCTTATCCCTTGATTCTCAAGACTTAGTAGCCACTCTGGAGAATGAAACCAAGTACAATTTAATATTGAAGAAAGTTATTCATAACCTACAAGATGCAAATATGCAATAGATGCTGCTATGGATGAATGATATCAGAGCAAACTTACTTAATAGAGTTTTAGGCGAAGATCCAAATGATCTAGTAGCTTTCTCATCCATGCAAATCTGAGTTGTGATCCATTTGATAATTTGAGAAGGTAATTTGGAACTAGAGAAGGCACTTGCATAAGATATAGCTCTTTTCTGATCTCCATTTTCCCTGTAGCGTCCCAATGAATTAAAATGAGGGCATTGCCAAAATAATTAACTTAAACATTCATTCATACCTTAAAAACTCTAAGGCTTCATGTGTAATTATCAATCTTGCCATGGCAAGACTTTTCATTTGTACAGCTGGTAGATGGACTGCTCTCTCAGGATTAAGGAAACAATACTCCACTAATATAACAGCATCATACAGAGCTTTCCTTAGCAATACTTCATCTTCAGAAGTCTGGCAAGCAATATTCCAACGATACTATTAGTTTTACATCCAAAAGCTTACTTCACATAATAAAGTAAATATTGGATCCATACAGCATTAACACAATGGTCTGAGTAAACACGTGACAAACAACTAAACAAGTGATCACTTTATCAGTTTAGATACTCAAAAAGCCTACAAAAGAACTAGTAAACTATATGCTGATTAAGAACCTGGCAAGTAGTTATTTCAGGGCTGAGTACAATCCCCAACAACTAACTTCAAATTATTAAGAGACAGATTCTATAATATATAAAACATTCAAACAAGGAACTTGCTAAGCCATGTTACAGTATGATGTCCCATGAGGATAATGTTTCATAATCCTTCCTGTGACAAACTATATCAACAGAAATTAGAATTAGAGTGAAAACCAAATTAATATAGATACAAATATGAACACGAATTTTCATTCCAAATTTCCAGAAAAAATCATCTATTTCATCCTGTTGATCATTTTATCAATCATTGGATTCTTTCATTGCCCAACATAATGGCTTCTGACATCACTCCCATCAACAGCACCTAATTAAAAAGTAGTTAATGATTGAAAGCCATGAACTGGGAGTGCATTTCTCTTGAATTTCTCCACAATCACACAGGTGCCTAAATCCTAATTGTTTTTATCTTGGAATGAAATCGTGGCTGTTCCTTTGTAAATTACATTCAAGAGAATTACAAAGTTTGGAGACATACTAGCAAACTAGATGCAATATTAATAATAACTAAACGCTCTAAGAAAATAGACACACTAACCAATAGAGAAGTCACAGGCAAAGTTGGCTCCAACAGCATCCTCACAAGGGTCTCTGGTCAGCACAAGGGAAAGATCAATCAGACTAAAAATCATACTAGAATCAATTTCACACTAAAAAGACAAAAATACAAATAAAGTTATCTCAGAAACTTAGTTGAACGGCCCGTCCAACAAAATATAAATATAAACTATGAAAATAAAAATAAAAATCACCATCAAAAACGAAAATTAACGCTAACCAAAGACGTATGCATTTCGAAACCCAGTTATGGAACTCACAACCCAACTCTTCAACTCTTTCTCCAACTGTGCTCCCGCAATCCCGACCCCAAAACTCAAGCACAATTTGATCAAAAACATCTCAAAAATAACCACCCCAGCCAGGCGATTCACGTCACACACTCCTTCACCAACCTCTCTACATATCTCAGCACTCACAAGCGGTAAAAATGACTCTAAACTACCATTCTTGTCCAACCACAAACTTACCAGATCCTTAAATGGCACAATTAAATTATCACATTGCTCTTCCAAATTCTTGATACAACACACACTTAGAAACCCAAGAATCACATCAACCAACGACCTGATCTCTCTAATCAGTTTCTGATTTCTCTTTGAAATCAAGTTTCTTCCTTTCGAATCAACAATCACTTTGTACAGCTCAAAAACAACCGGAGCTAGCAATGCGATACTTTTCAGAGAACTACAAGAAACTGAGCAAGCTGATATCAATTCAAAAAGGTCTTTTGTGACAGATAATCGATTTAAAGGTTCGTCGTTTGTGAAATTACGACTACGAACGGTCAAAGCAGAGTAGACCCAGATGGATTCCAGAGGTGGGTCAACCTTTGATTGCATTAATTCGTAGAATACATTCGTGTAATGGCTAAAATTTGGGGTTCCTTTTTGAGTTTCAGCTACAAGGTCTTGTATAGACTGGGCTAGCATGAGATTATAGTCGCCAATCAAAAGATTGATTTTTTGTTGGATTCTGGGTTCTGTTACAGTCAAAGACATGTTATTTATTGAAAAATCGGTGGTTTTGGGTGATTTAGTGAAAGAATCTGTAAAGAGAAACTACGCTAGAACTAAACCCTAATTTTGGAAGAGTTGAATGAAGGAGTCAACAACGTATATTAGGGTTTTAGGGGTTTGGTACAGTCAGCGTAATATATTTGCCACGTAAAGCATTACATGTCGGACTCTCTGTAACCATTACGGTCCGGTTCCGGTTCGCGCGGTTCCTAAGAATTTAAGTGAGGTTTTGTTTTGTTTTGTTTATTTATTTTTTATTGACCTTGCACAGATCCAATACGTGTTGTCTTGCTCCCTATTGGTTGGAAAAGTGGATCCATCTGAGGATCATCTACAACAACCAATCAGATCCTGCGAAACACGTAATGAAGCATCATTTTAACATCGATTATGTTAAAAGTAGTCCGTAATCCGTTTAACCGTTTCTATTAATATTTGGTATATAAAGCTTTGTATTCTTCAAATTTTCAGAGATCACTGACTCACTGAGAGAGATGGCGAAGACTCAGGCAGTATTGCTTGTTATAGCAACGATATTGGTGGTGTCATCATGGGTACCCCTCTCCTATTGTGCGAAGAAACCAGTTACAGTGGCCAGAAAAGAAGACATACCCTTCATCAAATGCCAAGTATGTGAAAAGCTGGCATCGCAGTTGTACCACCAAGTACAAAAGAAGCAGGCCCAGATCTCTCCCAAGAAGGTACTTTTATCATATGGGTTTCTGTTTGTCTCTAACGGGTTGATGAATTTTGACCTGGTGAGTTATACTTCTTTTTTGGGGGGGTTTCAGGTTTCAGAGTTTCAAATAATTGAGATTACGGAGAATGTTTGTAATTTGAAGAAGGAGGAAGCTGATTGGATTCTGCGGATTGATATTGTCGAAAAGGGAGATAAGTTGGAGGTAAGAGACTTTGTATTTTGGTTTCTTTTACATTTTAGATTTTGCGTTTTGTTGGATTTCATTGGTTGTATGAAGATATATTTATGTATCAGAGTCAGGGAGAGTTTGATTTCAATAGATGTGTTTTCTTCTTCTTCTTCTTCTTTTTCCTTAAATTATGGTAATAAACGAAGGTGAGTTCTTAATATATTTTTGTGCTAATGATAAATGCATCATTCTCTTTGTTCAACGCATGATCTGCTTACTCATTAAGTTTCATCTACTTTCAGCTGGTTGAGCAGGATGCTGAGGGACAATGCAATTCAGAATGCAAAACAATCGAGAAGGCTTGTCAGGAGGTGAATTTAGTTGCTTATTTGTACAATATTCTTTTGCTGCTAAGTAGTCTGGTTACTTGATCCATAAAGCCTACCTCCTTTTTTTTTTTTTTGAGTGTATTGTGTCCGGGAGTTGGACCATATGTGTTTAACATCATTTATGCATCCAGCTTTTGGATTGAATGGCTACTTAATGTTCCATGCTAAGATTGTGCTAGTACAAGAGTTGTCACTAAAAGTTTTTTTTTTTTTGTTTTAAGCTTTTTTTATTTTGGAGCATCGTTTTTGCAAGTATGAAGTATGTATAATTGGATCAATACTTGGGATTTTTGTAGGTCATGGGTTATTCTGATACCGATGTTGCTGAGTATGTATACACATCCAGGCCTGACATTGAATCATTGGTGAATTTTCTATGTAAAGACCTGACTAAAGCATGCAGCAGAAAGCCACCCCCAGTGCCCAAGGTAAATGCTTTCTGAATCTATCAATTGTGATTACCTCTTTATCTGTAATATATTCATTTCATTTGTTCTTACTCATTGTGATAACATATGGAACAAACTGAGAAGGCTATGTCTTTTCTTCTTGTTCTTTCTCTCCACAAGAATTGACATAGCACATTTTAGCCCTTGCAACAATATTCACATATTCTATCAATGTTCTCCTGGGTATTGTAGTATCTTGGTTTGGATATTAACAGATTTTTGCACCATCAGTATGAACTAAAACACCTTTCTTTGCTGGTGGTACCCTGCCACTTCAGGGTTTATGTTTGAAGCATTGCTTTTGGTTTGTTGATATCTGAATTTGCCGCTCTATTACTTTTTCTTTGCTGTTTCTCCTGGTTAAGCAATCTAGAATCTGGGGAAAGTCTAGATATTGATATGAGAAAGTTGAATATATGCCTTAGCTGGTAGGAAACTTAGTTGAGATCAGACTGTTTCTTCATTACCCAAAAACATTTTATGTGGATCATTTATTGAGACAACTACTCTGGCTTCTCAACTTTTTAAACTGCTTTAGCTTCAAGAACCTTCAACCATTAACCTTACAGTGTCAAGCTGTTTTTGTAAACAGTTCATCAGTCATCCTATAGTTACCTTTTCTTATACGGCATCTTTGATTCTGAAGGTTGTATTTTTTGTTTGTTTTTTGACTTTGAACTGGTGTGAGCAAAATAGTATCGTAGTCTTAATAATTGTCTTTGACTGTTATGAATATCTATTCTTTTTTTTTCTTTTTCCTTTCAGATGATAATGAATTTGATTTTTCTTTAAATATATGAGTCTACTTTTTCTTCATTTAATAGTTATCCGGTTTCTCTTACCTTAAAATAATCAGCTTCTTGTATACTTGCATTATATCAAAAGTATTGAGCCTGAGGTCCCCATATATCTGCATACAAGACTATCAAAATTTCTTGTTGGGCTTGACGATAGATGGCACTGATGAGATGCTTTGTTTATATGTTTGATAAGAGAAGTAGATAATTCAAGTCGCTAAACTGTCATTTTTGTGTATCAGAATAGGATACCAGGTGAACCTTTCGAGCCGAAACCTGCTAAAGAGGCTGAAATGGAAAGGATTATGAAATCCATGGAGGTACACATCCTTCCGATAGTTTTCACTGTATTTATTGGTACGATTTATATTGAATTCTGTTTTTGAGTATTTCTTTTGGGGGGCTGCAAATATGCTTCAGGGTATGCCAGGAGCACCTGGAATGAAAATGTACTCAAGAGAAGAGTTGATGAACATGAAAAATTTTGGTAATGAAGATGCTGATGATGACGAGGATGACGATGACGACAAAGACTTCCCCTCAAATTTGGTACGCACAACTTACTATCATCACAGATTAAAGTTCTTTTTCATGATAAATTTGGTTGTTTCATAACTGATTCAAATTCAACTAAAACAGGGCAAAGTTTTGAGAGGGAAAGAGAGTAAAAAAGTTGACTGGAAAGAAAAGATCAGCAAAGGAATAAAAAACAGTGGTGAGGTATTGAAGAGGCATGCAAACAAATACTCCAACCAGATACGACAGTGGTGGAGAAGAGCCAAAGCAGCTGCACGTTCTCAGAAATCAAAAGGTGGTAAGGCGGAGTTATAGGAAAGCCAAGACTAACTTTTTGGGTGTATGATTATGGTCTCAATTAGAGAAAAGTTTTGACAACGTTGGTAATTTGATGATAATACTATAGAGCTTTTACGAGGTTAGTTTGTGGAACCTGGTTGGGAAAATGTAATTTTGCTTCTCAGTAGCTTTTTCTCATCACGTGTTACTCTGTTTGCCTGAGGGATGGCAAATGCCCCCCGGATTTCGGTACTTGTAGGCATGGTTGTTAGTATCCTACGATACTCGATACGTATCATACGATACGATTCGATATAGGTCACTAACGATACGTATCAGAGAGTGTATCCTAAACTATTCGATACGTTGATATGTATCCTACGATACGATACGTATCCTTAAAAATATCGATATAAATCGATATGATTATATTAATTTGGGCCAAAGGTCCAAAAAAAAATTCGGGTCGAAACCGGGTTACCCAACCCGATTCACTAAAACCTGTCCAAATTTACCTATTTTACATGGAGAAAGTGAAGAGGAATATGTATTGCCCTATTTTACAGATAATAATATATAAGTGGAGATATAGATATTGACATTGATCTGGAATTTTGTGATTAATTTTGATATGTAATACCGTAATTTAAAGTCAATAATACCATAAAATTCTTTTATTAATTTTGGGGATTATATTAATTTTTAGAAAATTTTGATTATTTTATTAATTTTTTTGAAAAAAACGTACTTCGATACGATACGATACACGATACACATTAAAAAAATTAGGTTTTCGATACACGATACGATACACGATGATAACCATGCTGTAGGTAATTGTCTCTATTAGGATGGGGATGGGTTTAGTACTCCCCAACCCAAACCCGTTCAATTCCCCATCACAAAAATAAATATAAAATATTTTTATTATAGAAATATAAAAATTGTAATAAATTAAAATTAGTATATATTTTTTTATTACACATTTTATTGGAATGAAGTCTAATTGATTCTTAAGGAAGAGAAATGGAAAACACACTAGGAAATAAATGATGTTATGGCGTATTAGTCATTATTTTACAATTTAATTTAATTTTTTAAAGAAAAAATTGTTTTCGCTGACTTTTTTTTTTATTTCTTAATTTTTAATATTGTTACAATATTTTATGATTATTTTTATTTGAAACATTAATACTATATAGTATAATAGTAATGGTTTATTTATTTTTAATATGAGTATTTATATATAATAAATTGGGAAATGGAATGGATTTGGCATTTGGGGAAAACACTCCCCGTATGGGGATTCCCCATCCCTGTCCCACTTGATGGATATGCTGTAGTATTTTTAAAGCTCTAAAATTGGTGAATTTAGACCGGATGATTGTCCAATATGTGATTGGTGATGATGTGGAATTGGGATATTTGATTGCATGTGATTGGTGATGATGTGCGATAAGTGGATGAATATGATTTGTTGTTACATTGTTGCTTAATGTAATTGATGTTTGATATTTTTGGTATTAATAACGTTATTGATTGATGTTTGCTTAATGTGTTTAATCACATAAATACAAACATTTTACATTCACATTAAATGTTTTCATTTAGATAGAGAGAAATTTATGTATGTGTTTGATATTAATGTAAAAGGGTAGAGATATTCATGTGAATATAAATGGTTTAATAAGTTCTATTTTTTATATGTTGTATGTATTATCTAGTGCTATTTATGAGGGATTGATACATTGTATACTTCACGTTTAAATAATTTGGGGAGCGAGGTGGGGAATGGAGACCAAAATCCTAAATGGTGCGGGGAATGGAGGAGGTCTCCCAGTCCCCGCACTCGAGCCGTCTCATTGTCTTTGTGTCATACCTAGTTTGCCTAATTTTTTTCTTAAATACAATTTGTACCAAAAAAATAAAATACAATTACAACATTATTAGGGTCAATAATTAAGGGAAAGGGAAGTATATTTCCAATAATTCAGTAGGTATTCATTAATTTAAAATCAATATAGTTAATATTTGAAGTGAATGAATTATATTGTGAAGTGAATCTATAACTTAAATATATATTGATTGGATGAAATCCATTAAATATTGAATGAATTATTTAAACAAACTCTTTCAAAATATTATACTAGATCATTTGTTATCTACGAGAATTCGAATTTCAATAGAATATTTGCTCGGATCAACATTTATTTAGTGAAGTTTTAAAATTAGTGCAACTGGTTAAGTTTGGCAAATATTTAGGTCAAAAACATTAAAAAAGAAAATTAAATATATTTTATTTATAGTAAGTCTCACTTAATCATAATAAAAGACCATTTAAAATTAAATAATAAAAACTATAATTAATATTCTCATCAGGAAGTTACAATTAATAAGAGTGATTACACATGACTAATATTCTTAAAAAATTTTAATTACCTAATTTTAATTACTGATTAAATATAACTAACATTCTTATTTAAAATTTAACCTTTGATAAACTTCAACTACATTACAAATTTAAACTGCGGCAGAAGCCTCTGCAGGTAAAAGCCATTGTTAATTTCTCTAGTAATGTTTTGAGATGAATACGGCTAATCCATCTATTCCGGAAGCTATTCTGTACTGGTATGAACATGGAATTGAGATTAAACGCAGTGGGAAGAATAAAGATACATTAGAGGAAGTAAGAAATTATCTCAAGTCAGCGGGATGGACCTTTTGGTACAAAACAAAGGGATTAAGGGAAGAATTGCGATATACTTCTCCAACCGGAAGAAATTATCTCTCTCTTCGAATGGCCTGCAAAGGTTACATGGAGGAAAGAGGACTAGTTGTGGAAGACATCATAGCTGCAAGAAATAAAAAATTAAATCTTGCGTCTCAATCGCTTGACGGACCACCACCACCATTACACAGTAATGGAAACGACGCCATTGATGGAAAGACTTTGCTTTCAGATTCAAACAAAGTTAATAGCCGAAGTGTTGCTATTTCTTGGTTGATAGACAACAATTTGGTGTTGCCGAAGTCCAAGGCGCATTATTTAGGTGTGAATGGTCCATTGGCAAAAGGGCAGATAGATCGAGATGGGATCAAGTGTGATTGTTGTAATCAGGTGTTTACACTTTCGAAATTTGAAGCTCATGCAGGAAGCAAGAAACATAGACCGGCTGCCAACATTTTCTTGGATGATGGAAAATCTTTATCAGATTGTCAAAGGCAAATGTTCGAGAACAATGAGATCCGACGTTTTGAAAAGAAGCAACACAATGCTATTGAGAACGATAAGTTATGTTTTGAAAAGAAACAACACAAAGCTATGGAGAACGATAAGTTATGTTCGGTATGTCGTTCTGAAGGTGAGCTAATTTTCTGTTCTAATTGTCCTTCCTCATTTCACAAGAGGTGTCTTGGTTTGAAAGATATCGCAAATGGTAATTGGTTTTGTCCCTCCTGTTCTTGTGGGATCTGTAGCAAACGAAAATTTGAAGAAAACACTGGACATTCACATTCAAAGGGTGAAGAAATTATTTGCATTTGTGATCAATGTCAGCATAATTTTCACATGGGTTGCCTAAGGAAGAGCAGAGGAACAGTTAAGTCAAAAAATTCTCAAAATAAATGGTTTTGCAGTGATAGGTGTGAACGTGTTTCTTACCATCTTCATCAGCTTTTAGGGAGATTATTTCCACTGGGTAGAGATGGTTTAACTTGTAGATTGTTAAAACCCGGTTATCAAAATCCTAGTGATTCAGATAAGATGGGGTCTTTGATGGAGAATCAGAAAAAGTTGATTTTAGCTCTTAATGTGATGCATGAATGTTTTGAGCCTATTAAAGAAGCTTCAACAGGGAGAGATCTTTTTGAAGAAGTTATAATGAATCGAGGATCAGACCTGAAACGTCTGAATTTTCGAGGCTTCTATACGATGGTTTCAGAGAGAAACGAAGAAGTAATATCGGTGGCAAATTTCAGAGTTTCTGGAAAAGTGGCCGAGATACCAATTGTGGCTACAAGGCTTCAATATCGGAAAAATGGTATGTGTCGTCTTCTAATGAATGTGCTTGAAGGCTTCTGGTTGCATTAGGAGTGGAGAGGTTAGTGTTACCTGCAATTCCTGATAATCTAAACATGTGGATAAGTAAATTTGAGTTCTCGAAGATGACAGATTCTGAGAAATTACAGTACTTGAATTATGCTTTCCTGGATTTTCAAGATGCCATCATGTGTCAAAAATCGTTAATGAAGACCTCTCCAGTTAAATTCTGGAGTGTTTGATTTCATGGGAGCTCCCATCTATTATATCATTATATAGCTTGAGTTTGAATTTTTGTTGAGAGTATGAATATCTATCGTCTTTTATTTTACAGAATCTAATGAAATATTGTTTCTTTACTTTTTGTCATATATTTTTCTTTCCCAACTCTTATGACAATGTAATCCTATTCCTATGGTGGAGGGAGCTTTGTGAATTAAAACAAAAAGAGTAAACGACATTTTCCCACCAAAGGTTTGGCGAATCTACAGTTCCCACCCCTGGTTTCATAAATTGCAGATTCCCACCTATAAATTAACACCGTTATTTTTTTCTCAAAATAACCCCTATATCTCAAATTTCTCTCAAATAACCCCCAAAATGATCCCACCAAGCCAAGAATCTGGCCTGATTTCGGCACTATTGGACCTCCCCGATACCACCATCAACATCCCCTTATCCTCCTCACCAAAACTCCTAACTTTTTCACCCGATTGTACATCGGCGAGGTGTCGAAATTTGGCTGGAAAGGGGCAAAAAAATGTAAAAACCTAAGGGAGAGGTGGTGGCGATCGGCGGGCAATTGCAGTCGACAATGTTGGGGCTTTTGGTGGGGGGAAGCCGGCGATGCTATTGGTGGTCGTGGGGGTGGTTTTTGGTGTCGGGACTTGCCAGAATTTGAATGAAACACCGATTGACACTAAAAGCGACGACCGGTGATTAGGGGTTTTGATGTGAGGGTTGAGGGGATTATAATGGTAGTGTCAAGAGGGGTCGATTGTGACGAAAACAAGCCGAAATGGCCTGAAATCGCCGGTGGGGTGAATTAGAGAAGTGAAGGGTTATTTTGAAATTTTCATATTTGAAATGACCATTTTACCCTTTTAACTGTTAGATTAAACAGTGATCTGTTAATTTAAGGGTGGGAATCTGTAATTTATAAAACAAAGGGTGGGAACTTGTAGATTCGCCAAATCTTGGGTGAGAAAATGTCGTTTACTTATGCGAGGCAGAAGCCGGAGAAACTACTACAACCTTTAAAATAATAGATCAAATTCTTTTAATCACAAAACATGCATTTAAATCAAGACTTGGTCACTTGGATAGCCTCAGCTATCTTTATTGTATTATTAAGATTTCATAGGCCCGCAGTTAAATTAGAGAAAAGCTTTGATGGCAGGATGATCAGATCATCCTAAGCATTGTTTTAAAACCCAACCTTGGGTGAAACCTAGCAAAGTTGCTGGGTCCCGGGCTGGGTGAAAACTTTTAAAATTCAGCAAATACACCCCTAAAAATTAGGTAAGTCCTTATAAGTTTAAAATTTAGCAAACACACCCCAAATACAAATCGTCCGGCTACTAGTTGGTGGCGACGACACCCCAAATGCAATCTCAATCGTTTCTTGAGCCCATTTCCCTAAAAATCCTCCCAAAATCTAGTCGAAATCAGCATTCCAGGGCAAATCTCATTGACGCCGATGCTGACAATCATCCCCATCACCCAAAAAATACTCCCCTCTTCCTCCCGACCAAAACCCACCTCACCCCACCCTCGTTAGCCTCGCCAATCACCGGCAAAAGCTGATTGTTGCTGAGGCCAGTTTTTTCGATTTTCAATCGATTCACACATCGGAAATCAACTTTATCCCCATCATTGGACACACCAACACTTACTCTTCAAAAGCCCCAACATACCAATCTTCAATTGTTCGCCAATCATCATTCCAAATTCTCGGGTTTTGGAAATAGGAAAAATATCAATGTTTTAAAAGCCGGACAGGACTGGCTAGTCCAACTGGTTGGACCGTGAACCTGTCACGTGTCCGGTTCGAGTAAGCATAAAACCCGCCATTGCGCAATAAACCGTTTTAACCTGTCATTGGACCGCGTGAACAGTGTTGGACAGCCTATAAAAACCGGCCCAATCTGAAAAATGAAAAATTTCTCACTTTCTCCCTTTGTGTTGCGTAGTTTCTTCTTCCTCAGTTCCTTTACGCGCAAAAAAATCTGAAAAAAAATTTGAATGAAATCGTGAAAATCTGAAAAATATAACAAATCAAAACTCAATCTTGCTAAAATCGAAACCATCCATTGCTGAAATCACAACCATTCGTTGTTGAAATCGATCGCAACTCCAGTCTCTAAAATCGCGATGACGTGTTCCTCCCTCGCCGGAAATCGACGACGCGTTCCTCCCTCGTCGGAAATCGACGCATGAATGTCTTGACAATCCAATTTGATTCAAGGTGAGTTGTAATCTTCGGGACCTTTGCTGTGAAATCTGAAATGTGTGCTTTCTCTTTGTCCTTTTTTAATAGAGAGTAAGTTTGACTGTTTGAGCTACAATTTATTAACAAAATTTGCACCCCATTATCCGGGCAGTTCTGGATATTTTATTGTACAATTTTTAAGCTACCGTTTGTTTGGTGCTGTTGCTGTTTGGGTGGAAGTGATGTATGAGAAGTATATATTACAATCTTAGTACTTTCAGATTACCCTTTCTGAATGATGTGTTGTAGATAGTGGATTGTGTGTGAAATTTGAAACATGTGGAGAAGTAAATTTGAGTTCTCGAAGATGACAGATTTGAGAAATTACAGTACTTGAATTATGCTTTCCTGGATTTTCAAGATGCCATCATGTGTCAAAAATCGTTAATGAAGACCTCTCCAGTTAAATTCTGGAGTGTTTGATTTCATGGGAGCTCCCATCTATAAAGGGTAGAGATATTCATGTGAATATAAATGGTTTAATAAGTTCTATTTTTTATATGTTGTATGTATTATCTAGTGCTATTTATGAGGGATTGATACATTGTATACTTCACGTTTAAATAATTTGGGGAGCGAGGTGGGGAATGGAGACCAAAATCCTAAATGGTGCGGGGAATGGAGGAGGTCTCCCAGTCCCCGCACTCGAGCCGTCTCATTGTCTTTGTGTCATACCTAGTTTGCCTAATTTTTTTCTTAAATACAATTTGTACCAAAAAAATAAAATACAATTACAACATTATTAGGGTCAATAATTAAGGGAAAGGGAAGTATATTTCCAATAATTCAGTAGGTATTCATTAATTTAAAATCAATATAGTTAATATTTGAAGTGAATGAATTATATTGTGAAGTGAATCTATAACTTAAATATATATTGATTGGATGAAATCCATTAAATATTGAATGAATTATTTAAACAAACTCTTTCAAAATATTATACTAGATCATTTGTTATCTACGAGAATTCGAATTTCAATAGAATATTTGCTCGGATCAACATTTATTTAGTGAAGTTTTAAAATTAGTGCAACTGGTTAAGTTTGGCAAATATTTAGGTCAAAAACATTAAAAAAGAAAATTAAATATATTTTATTTATAGTAAGTCTCACTTAATCATAATAAAAGACCATTTAAAATTAAATAATAAAAACTATAATTAATATTCTCATCAGGAAGTTACAATTAATAAGAGTGATTACACATGACTAATATTCTTAAAAAATTTTAATTACCTAATTTTAATTACTGATTAAATATAACTAACATTCTTATTTAAAATTTAACCTTTGATAAACTTCAACTACATTACAAATTTAAACTGCGGCAGAAGCCTCTGCAGGTAAAAGCCATTGTTAATTTCTCTAGTAATGTTTTGAGATGAATACGGCTAATCCATCTATTCCGGAAGCTATTCTGTACTGGTATGAACATGGAATTGAGATTAAACGCAGTGGGAAGAATAAAGATACATTAGAGGAAGTAAGAAATTATCTCAAGTCAGCGGGATGGACCTTTTGGTACAAAACAAAGGGATTAAGGGAAGAATTGCGATATACTTCTCCAACCGGAAGAAATTATCTCTCTCTTCGAATGGCCTGCAAAGGTTACATGGAGGAAAGAGGACTAGTTGTGGAAGACATCATAGCTGCAAGAAATAAAAAATTAAATCTTGCGTCTCAATCGCTTGACGGACCACCACCACCATTACACAGTAATGGAAACGACGCCATTGATGGAAAGACTTTGCTTTCAGATTCAAACAAAGTTAATAGCCGAAGTGTTGCTATTTCTTGGTTGATAGACAACAATTTGGTGTTGCCGAAGTCCAAGGCGCATTATTTAGGTGTGAATGGTCCATTGGCAAAAGGGCAGATAGATCGAGATGGGATCAAGTGTGATTGTTGTAATCAGGTGTTTACACTTTCGAAATTTGAAGCTCATGCAGGAAGCAAGAAACATAGACCGGCTGCCAACATTTTCTTGGATGATGGAAAATCTTTATCAGATTGTCAAAGGCAAATGTTCGAGAACAATGAGATCCGACGTTTTGAAAAGAAGCAACACAATGCTATTGAGAACGATAAGTTATGTTTTGAAAAGAAACAACACAAAGCTATGGAGAACGATAAGTTATGTTCGGTATGTCGTTCTGAAGGTGAGCTAATTTTCTGTTCTAATTGTCCTTCCTCATTTCACAAGAGGTGTCTTGGTTTGAAAGATATCGCAAATGGTAATTGGTTTTGTCCCTCCTGTTCTTGTGGGATCTGTAGCAAACGAAAATTTGAAGAAAACACTGGACATTCACATTCAAAGGGTGAAAAAATTATTTGCATTTGTGATCAATGTCAGCATAATTTTCACATGGGTTGCCTAAGGAAGAGCAGAGGAACAGTTAAGTCCAAAAATTCTCAAAATAAATGGTTTTGCAGTGATAGGTGTGAACGTGTTTCTTACCATCTTCATCAGCTTTTAGGGAGATTATTTCCACTGGGAAGAGATGGTTTAACTTGTAGAATGTTAAAACCCGGTTATCAAAATCCTAGTGATTCAGATAAGATGGGGTCTTTGATGGAGAATCAGCAAAAGTTGATTGTAGCTCTTAATGTGATGCATGAATGTTTTGAGCCTATTAAAGAAGCTTCAACAGGGAGAGATCTTTTTGAAGAAGTTATAATGAATCGAGGATCAGACCTGAAACGTCTGAATTTTCGAGGCTTCTATACGATGGTTTCAGAGAGAAACGAAGAA